AAGTAATTAGCTTATGGATCTTAGAACGTAATATTTCGCCTCCTGCTTGAATAAGTTGTGCCCGGAACGTTATCATTACCTGGCGATTTATACCCTTTCAGTTTTGCAATAGCACTTTCAACCTCAAAAGGACTAGGATTATGTATTAACGGCTCAGCTGTATGAATTTCTATCTGCTTAACATCACTAACCATATGTACATTCAATAACAGAGAAGTAGTTCTTCCACCTATTTGAAATGTTGTGGGAATCTGTAAGCAGATCACTATTCTCATCCTTCAGTAAGTAACTTCTAGGTTGGTGACCCCTCTTAAAGTTATTTATTCTTCTATACAGGTATCTAATATTCTTGTTCTTACTGTTTGTTGCAAGCTTATTAATTTTGTTTTTCTGATAGCCCCTCCTTTTATCACTGAAATGCCTACTGGTTATTTTGGTTGGATCCTGTAACCACCACAGGCTGGGTCCACTTGGCACAGTGGCCACTGATTGGCCTATTGTACCTGCCCTGAGTGATTATGGGGATGGAGAATTTGGTGGAATGAAGATTGGCAGGGGAAACCGAAGTACTAGGATAAAAACCGCCCCAGTGTCACTTTGTCCACCACAAATCCCACTTGACCAGACCCGGGATCGAATCCGGGCCGCCGCGGTGAGAGGCCAGCGACTAACCGTTTGAGTTATGGTGCGGCCGACGTCACCTATCTATATATAAGGCCAGTTTGATTGTGAGTCTCTGATATTAAAAAAGAAATGTCTCAAACACTTTCCAAGAGGACCTGTTGTCCATTTAACAAATTTGTTTAATCACTGTCTTCGACACTATCGCTTCCCGGCAATTTGGAAGGAAGCAAAAATCGTAACTCTGCCGAAACTGAGTGAAGACCCAAGATTTTCCCTCAGAACTTACGTCCGATCAGCCTCTTGAAAGGGCATACTATTTGAGAGGCTGAGTTGGCTTTCGAGCAGATCACACTACGATAATTCAACGGCTGAGACTGGCGGATCACGTCACGCTAAATTTCAACAATAATATGTCGACAGCTACGGTGTTCATGGATATCGTGAAAACCTTCGATACAACATGACACTCTGGCATACTATATAAATTGTCAGAATTAGGATTTTCGACAAGTCTCATTAAGCTCATTTGTTTCTCACTGACAGAAAATTTAAAGGCTTGGTAGAAAGCGAACTCTCTACGCCAAGAAAATAGCAGCAGGAATGCCTCAAGGTTCGGTCCTTTCTGCAATATTGTACAGTCTATACATAAATGATGCCGCCGCAGCATCTGGTACTCATGCTCTGTTCGCGGACGATACCTGTATTTTCGCGAGAGAGAAACGTGAACGTCGTGTTCTTTGCAAACTGCAACGCGGCGTCATTGCAGTGAAGTCTTAGTGTGAGCGCTGGAACATATAGATCAATGAAAGGGAACCGCAGGCTATCAATTTTTGTAAAATACGTAGAGTCCCTGAGGACGTACTACAACTAAATGGTAGGAACGCCCCTTTGTAAATAATGTGAAGTGTCGTGATGTCACCTTCGACAGGAGGACAACGCCATATCGAAAGGACTGTAGCCAAGACCTTGTGCACGTAAATAAGTATATGTTCTCTATTCAAAAGTGAGCATTTTAGTATAAATACTAAACTTGACGCTTTACAAAGCCTTGATTAGATCAGTAATGACTTATGCTTCTCTCACCTGGGACTATG